CGCGTGCACAATGTTTCCGACGTGAATAGTATTCTGAACAGTGTTTCCGATGATGAATAGTAATTGTGACGGTGAACAGTAAATTTTTAAAAATTTCTATAAAAAGGGGGCTTTACATGAAATTTTCATTTCTTCACTTCTATCCAAGGTTCTCAAAGGTTACAAGGTCATATACCATCATTTTCTCTCATATTAAACTCTCATAAACTTAGATTTCTATCCAGATCTGTGATTCTGCATCCGTTCTAAGGGATTTGAAGTAAGTTTCTTTAAGTTTGAAGTTAGATTCACCGTTCGTTTCTCTTCTCCTTCTCTTTCTCATAGAAGTTCATGGTGTTATTAGGAGAAATTCCGATCTAAAGCCAAATCTTTGGTGAATCTTGTGATAAAACAAGTAATATTCGGTAGATCTGGAGTGAATCACCGTTTCAAGGTAAGGGAAGCTTACTTTAGTCTATGAACTATGTTTTGAACGGTTTGATATGCTATTTAAGAAAGGTTTGAGTTAATTTTGTTAGATCTCTTTGGTAAAAGCTGAGATATAAAGGATTTAATACTTGAAAGTTATTTTTCTATGTTGTAGCTGCTGATAACTGATTTAATAACACTGTGATTTGACTGATTTATTATAAACTTGTCTTAGCTGAGCTGTTGAAATGATTTTAGTTGTGTTGCATCATGTTGATATATATATCTTACATTATTATAGAGTTGAGTTACACGTTTAGGTGGGTAGATGTGTAACGGTAGAGCATGCTGAGCTATGTGGATCTAGATACCAGAATGGGTCGCTCCCAGACCAGCTTGGTTCCTTATGAATTACTTAGGCTGTGAAACCAGTTGGAAACCATTTTTTATGTTGTGCATTAGATGAGTTGATAATGCATGGGGCTGTTACTATAAGTAATATTTTGCCTGTTACTGTAAGTAATATTTTGTTGTATATATACGATTTTATTTTACTTTTTTGTAAGCTCACCCTTGCATCTGTCTATGCCGTTGTGTGCGTGTGTATTGCGATGATCATACGGTAATACGTGAGCAGATGTAGCAGGTATTACATCTACTTCACAAGCTGAGAGGCCAGTGGAGAAATATTAGAAGCTGGAGTTGAGTAATTTTGCATCAAAGTCTTTTTTCCTTATATTTTGAGACTTCATGTAGAGGGAGCTACGTAGTATAATTTGTGTAATTTGAATATTATGAACTAAATGTAATATTATGTTGTTCTATTAGATATTTGTTGTAAGAAACTTTATTTTATTTGAAGTGAATTTTATACTTATATTCTCTATTATTTATTTATCTTAAATAAGTATGTAGTGTAGAAACAATGTTTTCGATTCCTTATAAAAAGGGTCATGACACTCATAGTTTCTACTCTGGAAAATAATCAGTGACTTGCTATGTCATATTGTGATGGGATGGTTCTGCATCTTTATCAGTGCATAACATACTATTTATATTAAATTAATGATTTATTAGGCATAAACATTAGGAAAGTGCAAAATTTGGCTGTGTGCAACTCAGAACATATGGTAGAAAAAATAACTTTCTTTCAGGTTATTTTTTATATAAGACATATTTGCAAAATATTTCAATTGATTCGTCTTTGGCTTATGATTTTTTTTTGTTGCTTATTCCTAATTTTGAGTTTTGCATGCAGATAGGGTTTGCTGCACTACTATAGATTGGAGGTACAAAGTTCTTGTGCATTCTCTCACATTACCTGAACATATCATTAGTTTATGTATTTTTTGGTATATAAATATTTTTGAAGACAAGATTTAAAGTGTATACTACACATGGTTTCCAAAAAATATGAGGATAAATAGATTTAAATTCAACAATTGATCCAATTGCTTTATAAATAAAAGCATTATTAATAATGACTTAAACAACATTTTGCGGTCCAATCTTATTAATAGTAGATAAAATTAAATTAGCGATGTAAAGTTTATTTTTGTATTCACCTAAATTATTGATAGTTTTCAAGAACATAGATCCCAAGTCCAAAGTTGCCATAAATTGTAATTAAGTAAATTTTACGCTATTCTTAGAAAGTTTATTTATTGAATTTACATTTTATTTAATTAAAAAAACAGAAGTGTTGATTGAGTTCCGCCATAACGGGTGTGTAACTCTATTTTTTGACAAATATTTTAAAGTAATAATTTAACATAAAAACAATGTCATTTTAATTAAAAGCAATATCACCCCTCGTGCTGATTAGAATTTATGGGGTTTAATAACATCAAATCGTCGAGCTTATATATTTTGATTAAGTAAATTTTATATATTTTCAGAGGATTTGTTTAAGTGAATTTACATTTTATTTAATTAAAAAATAGAATTAGACGTGAAGTTGGAGCTATAATTGGGGTGTAATTGTATTTATTGACAATTTTGTTGAAGTAATGATGAAAAATGTGCTTGATAATCTTTGTAATGGCTGTTAATGACCGTTGTAAGGTAAAGGCATTTGAAAACAATAGATGGATGCTGGCGTCCAAAAATGGTGGACCCAAAAACATTATATATGGAACTGAGAAGAGATGTTGGAGATGAGATCGACCAATAATTCCAAATTGCCAGCAAGCACTTCCTTTTCATTCGCTCATGCATCTCATTTTTCTTCATTTTCTATTTATTTCCATGTCTTGAAAACGATTGTAACTTGATTATCAAAAATATAAAAAAATGATTGTAACTTGATATGTCAGATATTGCATTGTTAGGGGAATGTTATTTTCGTATAGCATTTTTCATTTTCTTTCTCACGTAATCATCGTTCAAAATGCACGTAATTATTAAAAGCTAGGCTTTGGATTATAAAAAATGGACAGTCATGAGAATGACTTGTGATAGAGACTAGCTTTGAGGGAAGGGATAAGCTTGTGGCCAACTACCTTCACAATATTGATTATCCATAACAAATATGAATTTCATATTTTATGGAACTTAAGCTTTGCATGTCTCAACAATTTCCAATATGAGTTGGTGTTAGAAATGATTGGATACTGGAAACTGTCACATTTTTCTTTTAATTTAACCGTTTCCCAATAGGTTAATACGTTGAGCCGTAATTTTTAAGATTTTTTTTAAATATGTTTAAAGATATATAATAAAAAATTGTATATATAGTAATTTTTATTAAAAATTACACAATAAGATTCAATGCACTTGTACTTCAAGATTACATAATAAGCTTTCTCTTCTCACCATTATTAAATAAATTTAATTAAATATAATGAATAGTTATATATAAAAAATTAATATATAAGTTATATTCATAATGTATTTTAATTGGTTAATAGTGTATATTTTTTTACAATGATAGTACACTAAAATTGAACCATTGTCAAATTGTAATTAATTAATAATGGATTGTTTTAAAAAAGAAAAAAAATAAAAGAGGGAAATTAATGAAAGAAATAATAGGACAAATTAAAGAATAAAATTTCTTGATAAGTTAGGGAAAATTAAGACAACCATTTAAACCATTCTTAATATATATTTTTAATTAAAACTTATATACTATCTTAATAATTTATATAATAAAAAATAGTATTACAAATTAATATTATTCATAATATAATTTATGAAAAATTAACATCTATTTTATAATTGAGAATTAATTATTTCAGTATTAGTGAAATTATTCTCTTTCAGGACATATATATTTTAGAAGTAAAATTAACAGAAAATGATACATGAATTACACTTTCTTACAATAATTTTTTATTTATTTATGTCTTTGTTAATTTTGTTTTAAATTTTAAAGATTCAAATTGTTACTTAACTTTTTTTTATTACCTTATATTAAATTTTACTTGTTATCTTATATTAACTTTTATAATTTTTTATAAATACTTATTCTTATATTTATAAAATTATCATAATTTTTTAAATTTATTGATTATTGACACTTAACTCAATTTTTTACACTATATAAAGAAATTATAATTTTAAAATAATTATATTTTAAAATTATTTAATTTCAATAAATCTTTATTATTTTGATACATATTATTTATAATTATAGAGTTAAGTCAAAATATTTTTTTTAAAATTATTGTTTAAAATAATTTTAATAATATATAATTATTTATAAATATATAGATAAATTTGTATTTAATTATAAAATTATATACATTTATTATAAAATAATTCTTATATATTATACAGGCTACTAAACTAGTTAATATTAAAATCAAGATAAAATAAAATAGCAAAAAAAAGAAAGAATGATAAAATAAGAATATATAAACATATCTTATTTTATATTTAATGTAAATTGAAATATAAATTGAAATATATTAAATTGTTTATTCAATCAACTTTTAACTAGATTTTTACCATATAAAATGTATACTAAAATAGATAATAAGATCATAAAATAAATGTATAATATCTTGTTGATTTAATAAATGTCAAAAATAAGATAAGATAAGCAACGTATTATATCTTATTTTTATATCACATCTAATAAAAGATTCTTAAAATATTTAATATGATATATATCTAATATATTTATATCATACATCTATAAATATACTAGTAAAAAATTCCGTTAAAATTTTTTCGTTTTTAGACATATTTTTATAACATAATGAAATATTAAAATTAACTCTTTCAGCGAGAATTGTTTTTATATACAATGTTTAAATACGAAATTTTAGGTGTGTACGGATGAAGTGGTTATGCAGTAATCTTTTATTACCCAAGTATGTGTATTATAAATTTGATCATAAATTTTGTTAAAATAAGTTAAAATAATTATTTGAATTATTCATATAATAAATTAGAAAAACTTATAAAAATTATAAAACTATGTTACAAACATTTCGAAATATCTAATAAAATTTAAATAGGTATCCCTTGAATAATCTCGTAATGAAAAGATGAGTTTGATTAAAAGAAATATAAAAATAAATAGAACAAAAATGAGTTACAAGTTTGAAGAGTTGGTTAAGAGTAATGACTTGGATCTGTTATGGAGCGCAGAGGACGATGGGAAGTAAAATAAACAGCTAAACATTAGGTCAAATGAAACTATCAGCAGAATAAAAATGGAAGATGAAAAGAGTGAAATGAATTGCTGATATTAGTATTGTGATGTTCATAACCGACCAACAATATCTCTCAATACGACTTTACACAATTGCATGCTTTATGCTTATGCTTCTCTTTTCTTTTACTGCACTGGAAATTTTGGAATTAGATGTATGCGTATGCATTGTAAGGTATCTATTCCAAACTCATCACCTACCACTCATTCATAACTCCACCCTTTCTTCTTATCATCCCCATTATTGCCATTCACTACTTACATTTACACTCCCCGTAAAACCCAGAAAGCATTTTCAATTTTCATCTATAAAGTTTCTTTTTTTTTGAGAACTGGCAGATTTGGGTTCTTACTATTTTATGCATTTTGGGTGCCAAAGATCTGGGCTTTCTGGTTTTGGTAACTGGGTAACTCGTGATGAAGTGATTTGTGAGATCTGGGGTTTGGGGCATGTTATCGTTGTGAATTTCGTTCCGTATAGATAGGTAGGACTAGGAAGTCTGTGCCTTTGTGTTTGGGGTTCCTTTCATGTTAATTGTCTTCTTTCTTCGTTTTGTGGGTATTGTGGCTGTTTGAGTTCTGAATATGCGTGTGCTTGTGTAATAAATATTAACCAATCAAGGGTGGTTTTGGTGTGTTGAAGTTGAACATTCTGTTTGTCTTTTACTTCATAGTTTAGTTCCAAGAGAGTGTCTTCTGATGTTTGTTCATATTGCTTTGAACGACAATGTAGTGGTCTGATAAATATATAATCAGTTACAAATGAATTGAAGAAATTTGAATGTAATGTAGCTTATTACTTTTTGTTACTTGTATATTGTAGGCATCAGGGCTTATAAGAGATGGGTGATGATCTTAAAGCTGAGTTGTCTGAGAAAACTCCGGTTTGGGGTCTTAAGGTTTGGGAAATAATTGGAATTGCAGTTGGATTGTTTATTATTGTGATCCTCTGTGTGCTTTCATTTTGCCTCACTTCAAGGAAGAAATCTAGAAAAGCTAGGGAAAGGATTCCTGTTAGTCATATACCTGCTGTTTCAAAGGAAATAAAGGAAGTGAGGGTTGAGCAAGTACCGGCAAATGGATTTGTTCCTCGTGAAGGAATACTTCTTACAATTCACGACAAATCCGGTGACAAAGAATCAGACAAAGTTATGGTTCATTTAGGTGTTGGGAAGATGATGCCTGGGGATAGCGGCAGTCACTCAGATTCGTTTCATTACTTGGAGAAAGATGGAGGTGGCTCACAATCAGGGGAAGAAGTTAGCTCTGGCACGGTTAGGATGTACAAGGCCTCTTCTTCATACCCCATAACAGCTCCTTCACCCCTCTCTGGCCTTCCAGAATTCTCTCACTTGGGTTGGGGTCACTGGTTTACACTGAGGGATCTTGAACTTGCTACAAACCGTTTTTCAAAAGAAAATGTGATTGGTGAGGGTGGGTATGGAGTTGTTTACCGGGGACAGTTGATCAACGGGACTCCAGTAGCAGTTAAAAAGATACTCAACAACATGTGAGTTCCTGTACCATGTCTAAGGTTTCCAAGTTACTTTAATTGGTTTATTTTTATTCCTCGGACTTTTGCCAAACTTCTGACTAGTTTTATTTTACCCCTTTTCTGGCAGTGGTCAAGCAGAGAAAGAATTTAGAGTGGAAGTTGAAGCTATTGGACATGTCCGACATAAAAATTTGGTTCGTCTTTTGGGGTACTGCATGGAGGGGACTCACAGGTACCCTATTTATCAATTATATTGCAATCTTAATATCTTTCTTAAAGGAATTGAATTATAGTTGCCGGAATCATGAAAATACCTATGTGATTTTCATAGTGAGGTCAGTTTCAAGTTCAACAGACAATGGCTTCAATGTGTTGTCTTAATTATGTTTCTTCTAAATGGGGTATATATTTGCAGGATGTTAGTCTATGAGTATGTCAATAATGGAAACTTAGAGCAATGGCTTCATGGAGCTATGCGCCACCATGGATATCTTACCTGGGAAGCACGTATCAAGATTCTCCTTGGCACAGCTAAGGCGTAAGTTGTTGCATCTCTGCTTCTTCAGGCTTTTCTTGTCCTCGTTCTTAGGTTTATCTCAGTCATAAATGGAAACATACTTGTTTCAGGTTTGCATATTTGCATGAAGCGATTGAGCCAAAGGTGGTACACCGAGATATCAAGTCAAGCAACATATTAATTGATGATGACTTTAATGCTAAGGTTTCTGATTTTGGCCTGGCCAAGTTACTGGGTTCTGGGAAGAGTCATGTTGCAACGCGAGTTATGGGAACCTTTGGGTCAGTATTTTTGTGCTCTTTCCTTAGAAATGTTTTTTTTTTTTCCACACTGAATTTTGTTAAGAGGAACTTCAATCCTTATATTTATTCTTTCTTTCTTTCTTATTCCATATTTACAGATATGTGGCTCCTGAATATGCAAATACTGGTCTTCTAAATGAAAAAAGTGACGTTTATAGCTTTGGTGTTGTGCTATTGGAGGCAATTACAGGAAGAGATCCAGTTGACTATAGTCGTCCAGCACAGGAAGTGAGTAAACTTGACTTTTATGTTGGAAGAAAATCCATCTTGGAGTATGTGTTCTTTTACAACAATTCATTAAATTCAATGAATAATCCAAAAGCGTTAATTTTGTGAGTTTGACTTATTCAACCAGAAAAAAAGTAGTGTGCTTGTCTTGTACATTAGGTGTTAATCACAAGATATGATTCCTTTTTTATTTTTTTTTTGGCCTATTGTCTCAATATATGTTTTTAGACATGCAACGTTACCATCTTCCCAAAAATTTTAGCAACATACTTTTTGACTGATTTTTTTACACTTTATTGTTGGGTGAATTCCCATGTGTAACTCAGAGAGTGTAGGCCAAAGTTATTTAATGGGCTTGGATGGGAACTCACCCAATAATAGTGTCAAAAGTGCATTGCTAGCATTTTTTCTACTTTATTATAACCAACTTAAGGATTGGGTTATCCTATTTTCTCAATTCTTCCACCTAGACATTTTTAAAAATGGTCCTATTTTTACCCATTTGGTCCTAAATTGTTGATGTAATGGAGTTCTGTTTTGATATGCATGACTAATTTATGAAACATCTCCAATTAATTTGTCAATCCTATAAGAAAATCAAGTCATGGGTCATTATGGTGAAAAATCAGTGACTGGATAAAAGAGCAACAGGAGTTAGTTAATCTTCTTTCACTTTGTAAGCTGTACATTCAATCCATGAAAAACTAACATTCTCAACAATGCTAGTAATGTCTTGTTTGCATTGCTTTAAGTTGCTCTAACATCATGGGTGGTTGGAAAAAATTTAGGATATAAAGTTGGGGAGTCCCTGATCAATCCATTTGAGCTCCGCAATATATGAACCCTGGCTTGGCACCTGCAATATTTATTTTTGGATGCTAAACGTAATATAGTTTTTAGGAATTTTAAAGTAAGTCTGTATAATTTCAAAATTGTGGATGGGTCTGTATTCTCTGTAATTTCAAAACTTACTCAATAGAGTCCCTGAATAGTTTACTGTTAGATCCCTGTACAGAAAAAATGTTTAACATGACCAATTCATACTTTTTAAACTACAAGGATCCATTGAAACTTTTCAAATACAGGAACCTACAGGTTACTTTAAAACTTCTCTTTTTAGCTTTCCTCATTACTTGTTTATTGCTTGAACTTGCAAACTTTGCAACTTCAGACCTTACTTGATATTGATGAATCAGTTATATATTGTTCATTCTTCTTTCTACTCTCATTTCTAGCATCATTATGATCACAGTTGCTGCTGTATTATAGATTGCAACTATGATGCGGGATTTAGATGACTTGTCTATTTGGGGCTTCCATTTGGGAATTTGAGATTTAAAGATAACTAGGGATTGTAACTTTATCAGTTAGGGATTTATCATTTGTTTTGGATAGGGATATTCAAATCTCAGTATATTGGTTGTTCAGTTATTACCTTATTTTCAGTAATTAGTTTATGTAAAGGGCAGTGATTATCCCTTGAGGATCTCATGCTTGATTATTGACAATAAAAATAGTTTTGGTGCTCTTTGGGCTGATATTTCTTCAGTTGCTTGTTTCTGGTCGAAGAGTTTTGACTGACATTTACAATGCCCCTCAGGTTAATATGGTTGATTGGCTTAAGATGATGGTTGGAAACAGGCAATCTGAAGAAGTGGTAGACCCAAACATTGAGATGAGACCATCTACCAGATCTCTGAAACGGGCTCTCTTAACTGCTTTGAGATGTGTAGATCCAGATTCTGAGAAAAGACCCAAGATGGGTCAAGTTGTGCGAATGCTCGAGTCAGAGGAGTACCCTTTACCAAGAGAGGTTTGTTTTTTTCTACTTTGTCACCATTAACATGATCTTTTCTTTTTCTCAAAGCTTTGTGTTTTATTTAATTGTTTATACTGCCCTTGATATTCAAGTCACTTTGGGCCACAGCTAATCCTAGTCGAGCTTGTTGGACCTAATTAGGAGTTGATGACACAGTTCATTTCTCTGGTCCTTTTTCAGCGCATCTTTTCTCAAAATGAACTTAATGGTTTTCTCATTTGCCTGCAATGCATCAACCTTTCCGTTTCTTATCAGATCATAAATGGATACATATCTCAATATTTAAGGGATGATTGGTTTTACGGAATGATTTTAGAATGACATTTGATTTATTTCATTATCTGGATGCTCAGGACCGTAGGCAGCGTAGAAATCGTGGTGGCGTTAGCACAGAAATTGAATCTCAGAAGGATTGTTCTGACACAGACGGGAGTGACATTCAGGGTTCTAGATCAGAAATTGGAAGGTAACAACAGGCATGACCGAAAGAATGAGATTCTTTTTTAGGGTCAGTGGGATGTATAAAGTGAGTGATTTTTTTTTAATAAGATTTTTATCTTGTTAGATTCTTGGATTCGCCTACCCAAGATGGGCATGGCAGAGGGGGGTTGACTCAGCAGGGTATAATATTGATTTTTGGGATCTCTTTTCTTTTGTTGTAGAAGGATAGGCATTTGTTCTAGAAGGATATATATATTGTTTGTGTATGAGGTGGGTGATATTTATAAGAACCCAAAATTGGGGTGTGTACAGAATCTGATAGCTTTCCTAGATTTATTTGATAAATATGTGGGCATTGTCATTGAGGAAAGTAAAATAAACAGTATGATTTTACTTTCTTAAAAATCTTTATGCTAAGATCATTCCGGGTCACACTATTCCATTCCTTTTATAACATTAGTTTATCATAAATTTCCCGATCCTTGTGGTCCCTTTATTGGGTAGTATATTACGAGTTAAGTGCACGTCGTTGAGTTGTAATTATTATTGTTGTTAAACTCTTAACACATACTAGGGAGAGGAATGAAGCAATTTCCAATCATGGTGTGTGGTACTTTGTTGTATGAACAGTAAAGCCAGTGAGCTTATGAGAACATACGTTACTGCAATGTACAATCACCGTAATTTTGCCCTTCCACTTAGTTAACGGTTAACTGACTTGATGACGTCTAAACTAATAGAATGAAGGTCCAGTTAATTAATGAGACTCAAGATTCTGTCAGGTCAGTATGTCACTGTGACCAGGTCTCTCATCAATTGAGAGCAAACATAATGCATAGCAAACTTCTAATAGTATATTAATGCTGCTCTGCAGGTCCTTCGTATTTTCATATACTTCTATGTATATAATTTTTTCATGTGAAAAAGATCTTAGAAGCACTGGTGATGGAGAGAAAATGTAGAATATTTTCTTTTCCTTTTTTTTAAAGAAAGATACAAAAGAAAGGCAAAAGCATACCACGTATCTTAGGTGTGAAAGCAACAAGAGAACCAACATATTACCATTTTATTGGCAAACAACCTTACTCTTGAGGCTTCGCCCACTTGAGAGGTTTCACCACCTCCCATGTGAAGTCAGGGTCATCTCTTCCAAAGTGGCCATAAGCAGCAGTTTTCAAGAACCTTCCATTTCCACCCCTCTTAAGGTCCAAATTAATGGAAATCATTCCTGGCCTGAAATCAAAGATCTCCTTCACAAGCTTCAAAATCTCCTTGTCAGGAATCTCTCCAGTGCCAAAAGTGTCAACAAACACTGATAATGGGTCAGGAACACCAATTGCATATGATATCTGCACAATGCACCTTCTAGCAAGTCCATTAGCCACAATACTCTTGGCAGCCTGTCTAGCAATATAGGCTCCACTCCTATCCACCTTGGTAGGGTCCTTCCCAGAGAAAGCACCACCACCATGAGCTCCCCAACCACCGTATGTGTCAACAATTATTTTGCGCCCTGTGAGACCTGCATCACCATGAGGGCCACCGATGACAAAACGGCCTGATGGGTTGAGATGGAAAATTGTCTTCTCATCCAAGTACTTCTCAGGAATAACAGGCTTAATAACATGCTCGTTAAGGTCTGCAGCAATCTCATCATTGGTAACTGTTTCATCATGTTGAGTGGATATGAGAACAGTGTGGACACGTACTGGGACCATAGCACCATGTTCATTAGTATATTCAACAGTGACTTGGGTTTTCCATCAGGTCTCAACCAAGGACATGCCTCATTCTTGCGTACTTCACGTGCACCCAGCTTGGTTGCAAGGACATGGCTGAGAGGCATAAACTCAGGTGTTTCGTCTGTGGCATAGCCAAACATGTGACCTTGATCACCAGCACCTATCTCTTCAGGTTGCTTGGTGAGGTGGGCATGGACTCCCTGGGCTATGTCAGGGCTTTGCTGCTCAAGGTAGATCAATACATTGCAGTTGTCAGCATCAAGGCCAACATCACTGGACACAAATCCTATAGAACGGCACGTGTCACGCACAATCTTCTCATAGTCTATGTTGGCTTTTGTGGTGATCTCTCCAAATACCATGACCAAGTTAGTCTTGGTGCAGGTCTCACAGGCAACCTTGCTTTCAGGGTCTTGCTCCAGGCATGCATCAAGAACTGCATCAGATATCTGATCACACAGCTTGTCAGGATGACCTTCATTCACTGACTCAGAAGTGAATAAGAAGGTATCCATTCTCCTCAAGTTTCAAGCTACAAGAGGAAAACGAAGTGACGTATTGAAAATATGATTCAGATGGTTCCTGCTGAAATGTCTGGTTTACTCATAAATAAAGCAATGATAAAAGTTTGAGATATCATGTTTAAGCTTTGAATAACGGACATTGAACAGCATATGACACAAATTTGGAACATAATTCTCTAAGAATCATAGATAGATGCGACAATCTTTTTCCCATATGCTAATAGCAGAATAGAATAATAGATACATAAAAGTAAAAGTGATGTTCCACCAGGAGAAGAATATTGAGACAATTGATTAGTTAGAAGAGACAAAAACTGATGTCATAGACCTTAAAAGCGCACACAGTTTTTCCCCAAAAGAAAAATAATAATAAAAGAGAAATGCTTCATATTCAAGCAATCAAAAGGAATTTAACCATCTTCCAATAAGTGGCAAAAGATCTAGAGAATAAAATATATTCAAGAGTACACACAAAAAAGCTGGAACATGAGGGTTGTTAACATGTTCAACTTTTTTTTTTTTGGAACTTTACACAAAGGTGAAGGATGCTCAATCCAGGAAAAGGATGCTTATGATCAGAATTACTGGATCTGTTGGTTTGAGTTGGAATAACAAATGACAATTCACAATTAGCCATGAGATTTACCAGTTTGTTTGATTTCTTGCCGGATAAACAAAACATATACAAGCTCTAATCAGATTTTTCATGCTGCTAAATAACCGAGGTTCAAGGTGGATGATTAATTCAAGCAAAACGGAGTTCCATCTCCATAAACTGAAGAAAAATACTACTTCACTCAAAACAGTTTGATCAAGTTCAACAAAGAACCAAACGCATGCAAAGAAAATGAGATAACACAAACGTAATAAATCGAGCATTCATCATTTACACGAGTAATTTCATAACCAAGCATGAAAGAAAACAACTTATTATGGTTTAGAGATATCATTATTGTAAATAAAGTGACAAAATGAATATGAGAACATGAGCAGTGAGTAGTGACAACACAAACCTTAATAACAAGGTTTCAGAGGGTCTCCACTCTACAACTGCTTCTCCCCTTTGCTAAATGCTTTGTGAAGCCTACGCATGGGATTTGGGTTGGCATTTATAGAGTGAATAGAATAGATATAAAAATTATTTCAAAACAAAGCAATCAAAGAGTACATTAATTATTGCTCAAGGTTTTACATGAAAATTTAAAAATTAAAATTTAATATAATACTTATTTTTTTAATAACAAATCTAACCGTTAATTTGAAAAATCTTATTGAGTTTATCAATTTTATAAAATAAAAAAAAAACGTAACTAACAAGTACCTCACCACATAACTTTATTTTAATCAATAATTTGTTTTTAAAAAATATGAGTAAATATTAAAATTTAGATATTATATGTACAAATGTTAAAATATTTTAAAATTTTATATACATAATCATGAAAATAATATAAGATGATTAAACATTTATATTATTAAATTTTTATTTTATAAAAAATATTAAACAAAAAATAATACTAGTTTATTACCCAAGAGTCGTGAAAATTCCAACGTTTTACTGATGTATTATTTTAATTTAATATGTTGTGAAAGCCATTTTTAATTTTTAATTTTTATTTCCCTTCCTGATGGGTGATTCTAATTTTTATTCTTCTCCCGACATATGCAATGGTCTATGTTAAGACTTGCTTATCATTGACGTCAGCAATGTATATTAATATTATTGATTTGTCAGCGATGTGTTGAAATAAGGTAATCTTTATTTATGACTCATTTTGTGAGTTTTCACGAAAAAAAGAAACGTGCCTAAGGTGCCCTTTAGGTAATCTCTATTTATGACTATTTTGTAAGTTTTGACGAAAAAGAAACGTGACTAAGGACACTTTTAGTGATATAACCTAAATGGGTTTTTAAATATATTTTATGTGAATCTAACAATATTATATGTATTTAAAGAATATTTTTATTTTTTTAGTAATAAAATTAAAGTTTAAATTTTTGGATTAATTTTTGTACGTCTCATTAAAATTATTATATTATTTGTTTAAAATTAGCGGTTGATGAATAATGCTTTAATTTATTTTTTTTTGAGAATAGTGTAGTTATTCCTAATTCATGGTTAAGCAGTCATCTCTAGCATGAAGCACTCTTACTTGTGATTACTAGTAGTTATTGTGGAGAATTAATTTTAGATTAAGAATAATTTTTAAGAACTATCACTAAAGATACTCTTAGTTTTATTATTTACTTTTCTTTTTTTTTTGAATGGGAACATTGAATTTTCAAAAATAATTTTCACAGTTCTTATAAAATGTTTTTTAAAAATTATTTAAAAAATAAGCTGCACCAAAGCGAGTGTTGCATCTAGTTGCATTAATGTTTTATGTGAATGAATCGTAACACTTCTTTTTCTTTTCTGAGTGACAGAGATATTCGCGACAGTTGAGGATGGTCGATATTTGGGACATGGTGGAAGTGAGAAGCACATTTGAGAAAGTTTGTGATATGAACTCAGATGATGAGGGTGGTGCAGTAGAAGAATATGAAGGAGAAGTGAACTATTCTACTGTTGAGGAAGAAAATTACCTTAAGTCCATAGGAAAGCCCAAAAGAGAGAAGTGTCAGCCCATTTGGATGAGCAATTACGTGGTGTCAGTCCAAAAGAAGAAAGACAATCAAGAGGGAATAATAAGATTAATTGTTGAGTGTCATTTTTATTTTCTGTCATTTTCTATTTTGGCTATTATCTAATGTTATTTTCTGTTAGTTGGTTACATCCTATATGTATAGCCTTACCATTGAATAAGGATAACAAGAAATGAAAAGATTCTCTCAAATCTCCCTTTTTTCTCTCTCCCCAACAGTAATATCTTTTCTGCTATTCTCTCTCTCCCTACAAGTTCTTCTTCTTCTTCCCTTACTCACATCATTTTGAGATTCGTTTTAATTGGATGGACAAAATCATTCATATCCCATATCCCAAATATAATGATTCGTAACAATTATTTAAAAAATAATATATATATATATCACAAATTCCATTAGCAGATGCACTAAAATGTTTATTTTTAGTAAAAATCTGACTAAAATAAGATAATATCGCATATCAAGTATATTTATAATGAAATATAATTTATTATTTTTTTCTGTTAAATATAAATTAAACGAAAGATTTATATCAAATATTATAATTAATGTAAAAAAATTCTTTTCTTTTTTATATATATATATTTATATTAGAAGTAAGCTCTGAAATTATTCTGTTAATAGAGAAATTCCTTATGACAGTTTTAGCTATGGTCAACTTAGTGCTATTATTGTCAAGAATGCTATGAAAGTTTGTCAAGAAGACAAACTCCATAAACAACTTGCCAAAGAAAGAGCCTTGAACACAAAAGATTTAGGATCTTTCTGCGAACAATTTGGTCTTCCTTCTTGCTCCACCAAAAAGAAAAAACAGACTAATAAGAAAGATATTGTTGAAACCTACAAAACCCCTTATAAAATGAAGTTCAATAAAAAGCCTCCTAAAAAGTCTGGAGAAAATGTCATCCCAGCAATGTTCCTAAAAAACCCAGATCTGGTATAACCTGCTACAACTGTGGTAAACCCGGTCATATCAGTAGATAGTGTAGACTTAAGAAAAAGATTAGTAATCTTAATCTTGATCCTTCAATTGAAGATCAGATTAACAATCTTCTGATTGAATCTTCTGAAGAAGAATCTGAGAAAGAAACCAATGAAGATATTAATTAGATCCAACAGGATGATCAAGTTTCTTCCTCGAATAATGATGAAATTCATGAAATCAATGTTTTAACAAAAGAACAAGATCATCTTATTGAAGCAATTAATTCTATTTCTGATCCTCAAGAAAGAAAAGAATTTCTTAGTAAGTTTAAAGATGTTTTAGAAATAAAACAAAAATCTAAAGAAATCTTTAGTGCTAATAAATTTGATATTACAAATATTTTCAAAAGACTTGAAAACAACTCTAGTATCAAACCAACTACTGTCTAGGGTCTTCAAATTGAGATTAATAATCGCAAGAAAGAAATTCGTGAAATTAAAAATCAACAACAAATTCATCAAATTATTCTTTTACAACTAGAAGATGATAATGATTCTGGAGTTGTAGAAGAAAGGATTTTTGAAAAGAATGATTCTGAGAAAAAAGATTCTGGTGAACTAGAAAATTTTTTCATGAATTTGATCAACAAGATCAAAATTCAAAAATTTTTATATTAACATCAGAATCATTATTGATGATTTTGTTCTTGATACTTTAGCACTCTTTGATATTGGTGCTGATTCAAATTGCATCTTAGAAGGGTTAATTCCTATTAAATATTTTGAAAAAACTTATGAAAAACTCAGCACTGTGAGTGGTTGAAAGCTTAAGATTAATTATAAATTATCTAAAGCTATCATTGAAAACCAAGGATTTAAAGTTGAAACAAACTTTCTTCTTGTTAAAAATTTGAAGAATGAAGTTATTCTGGAAACTCCTTTTATTAAAGCTCTTTTCCCACTTCAAATTTTAAAAAAAGGTATTTCTACCTATCATTTAGGTAAGCAGATAACCTTTAATTTTTCAAGCAAACCTTTTACTAAAAATATTAATTTTATCCAAAATGAGATTAATCAAATAAATTTTCTTAAAGAAGAAGTCTCTTTTGCTAATATTGATGAACAATTGAAGAATACATCACTTCAGAAAAAGATTAATTCTCTTTTAGAAAGTATTCAATCTTCTATCTGTTCTGATCTGCCGAACGCATTCTGGAATAGAAGAAAACGTATTGTAAATCTTCCTTATGAGACAGACTTTAAAGAAAGTCAAATCCCTACCAAAGCGAGACCCATTCAAATGAATGAGGAACTCCTCCAATACTGCCAGAAAGAGATACAAGATCTCTTAGATAAAAAACTCATTAGAAGAAGCAAAAGCCCCTGGTCTTGTTCTACCTTTTATGTTAATAAACAAGAAGAACTAGAAAGAGGTACTCCCAGGTTGGTCATAAACTATAAACCGCTTAACCAAACTCTTTAGTGTATTAGGTATCCTATTCCTAACAAAAAGGATCTTCTTAACAGACTCAATTCTGCTAAAATCTTTTCAAAATTTGACATGAAATCTGGATTTTGGCAAATCCAAATTTGTGAAGACGACAGTTACAAAACGACCTTCACTGTTCCCTTTGGGCAAT